GGGTATTAGTCAAAATGGCCTGAATAGATTGCAATTAGTACAAAATGCGGCAGCGAGACTTCTGACAGGGACTCTCAAGTATGAGCACATATCCCCAGTTCTTTCCTCTCTGTGCTGGCTGCCTGTTAGGTCACGGATTGATTTTAAACTATTATTTTTGTTTTTAAATACTTAAATGATCTGGCACCACCTTATCAGATCTCCTACATGTATATAATCCTGGTAGATCACTAAGATCTTCTGATCAGTTTATTTTTTCGTTACCAAGGTCCCAGTGTAAGCAAATTGGGGTACGGGCTTTGGCTGTTATCGCCTCAAAAACGGATCAGGCTTCCACCTCACATCAGACACGCTCCAACTCTATCTGTTTTCAAAAAGCTTCTGAAACTCTATCTTTGTAGTTGGAGAGTCTAAATTTGTTGTGACTGAAATTCAGACTCCTCTATGTGCCAATGCCAATGCCACAAAAGGTTCATAGGGCTGCCATTGACTCCCAGAGAAGAGGAAGAAAAACCAGAATGGAGACAATAGGTGCCTACAGACCTTCGGTGCTTGGGCCCTAATAAACAACTATAGATTGACAGGGTAGCCCATTTCCAAATAAGTGATTTCATGACCTGGATAAGTTATGTTAACAAATAAAGTCATAATATAAATCAGTGTACATTTTTCTAGTTATGCCAATTTATATTATATTTTACAAATTGTAGAGACACAGTGGCCCAGTGGGTAGCACTGTCACCTTACAGCAAGAAAGTCACTGGTTCGAATCCCAGCATTTCTGTGTGGAGTTTGCATGTTCTCCTTGTGTTGGTGTGGGTTTCTTCTGAGTGCTCCGGTTTCCCCTTCAGTCCAATGTCATGTGCTATAGGTTAATTAAACTTATTTGCACATAGTGTATGTGTGTGAATGAGTGTGTATGTATGTTTCCCAGTACTGGGTTGTGGCTGTAAGGGCATCCGCTGCGTAAAACATATATGGCGAAATAGTTGGCAGTTCATTCCACTGTGGCAACATCTGAAATAGAGACTAGGCCAAAGGAAAATGAATGAATGAATAAATGAGTTGCACATATTCGAAAATCTTTATAATAAAAAAACAAAAAAAAAATGCATAAGTCATTTAGCCTTAAACTATTGTTGTGGACAATGGGAGGCAATTTACAGCAAATTACAGCTATTAAACCACCACCTTATGCTTTAAAATAGCAGGGAATTGAGTGTCTCATTTGTGTGCAGAGAAAGAGAATCAACACAATGTGTGATCGATCTGAAGAGAATGTAATTTCAGTTGGTCTGACCATTAATTTTAACATTACAATCTTTGTGACATTTTCCATAATAATACTATATAGCACAAATGTCCTCAGCATTGATCATCAGAAATTGAACAACTCATTTTCTACTCAGCCTAATCTGTGCAGAATGACTGAGTTAAAAGACTGAGAATATATCCTGGCTGTTATCTTCCATCATCTGTCCTCATTCTCTACACTTCAATTGAAACCAGTGTAATGGACGAGTCGTAAGAAAAGATTTCATATCCAGGCTGAAAGGACCAAACATGGAGATGGAAAAGTTGAAGCTGGCAGACAGAATCACACCGCTTGCATAACAGTGCAACACTGGCATTGTTGAATCAGTTCAACCAACTGGTTTCTGCTCATGGAAAATATCCGTCTAATGAATACTGGTAGCAGGTACAGAAAACAAAAAGCACTAGAAAATGGAGAATAAATGAGACCTTTTATTATTTGGTCTGACTGATTCTACATATTTTGTATTAAATCAAAATGAATCTGGTTATTTTTGATCAAAACATTACTTCATGACTTCAGTACAAACACTGCTGCTGCCTGTTAGAGCTCCTTCTCCCCATATGTGAACTATGCAGACTGATTATTCCAGATATCTACACTTTTTACTATCTGTTCTGGGCTCAGCTATACCTCACCTGACAGTCCATCAATTTTAATGGGCTGGCTGGGCTCAGATGCCCTCGGCTGTGGAATGTTGGGTCACCTCGCTACTGTCATGTCATGCCTCGGTGGACATGGTGTTAACAGCAGGTGGTAGATATCCGTTGGCCTTGGTAGGACTGTTTTGTGTTTACATGCAGTAGTGACACTATCTCTGTTCAACAGATGCGCAGCGTTCTTACTAAAACTCCTCCCTGAATGCTGCTTATACAATATATACCTTTACTGTGTGTGTTCAAACTCACAGTAATTTAGTCATCTTGTCATTATTGACTGGTAGTGCTTCACTTTGTTATTATCTACACATATAACTGCCTTAAACCATTTAGGCTTATTTTATCTAAAAAAAAAAACTCTTAAATAATAGATGTTTGTTGGCATTGATGATTCATTGAAGAACCTTTAACATCTGTTTCATTCCATAAAAAGTTTCTCTATAATGAAATAAAGGGTCTTTAGGTCATCAAATTGATCTTAACAGTTATGAAAAAGTAGTTCTTAGAAAAGCAAAGCAAAAGTTGCTCGTCAATGGCATCACTGTGAAAATGCATAGATTTATCACACATTTTTTTTATAGCTTTTTTCCAGACTTCTGTTTTCCAGGGATATAGTTTTTGGTGCCCTGTGCCTATCCAGCTGGAGCTGTACATGGAAAACTCCAGATTTTAAAGCTCACAGTTACACTCACATACATACAGTTGAAGTCAGAATTATTACACCCCCCCCCCCCTGTTTATTTTTTCCACAATTTCTGTTTAACAGAGAGAAAAAAAATCAGCACATTTCTAAGCATAATAGTTATAATAACTAATTTCTAATAACTTATTTAGTTCATCTCTGCCATGATGACAGTAAATAATATTTGACTAGATATTTTTCAAGACACTTCTATACAGCTTAAAGTGTCAGGGCTTAACTAGGTATAGGTTAACTAGTGAGGTTAGGGTAATTAGGCAAGTTATTGTATAATGATGGTTTGTTCTGTAGACTATCGAAAAAATATATAGCTTAAAGGGGCTGATAACTGTGTCCTTAAAATGGTTTAAAAAAAATAAAAACTGCTTTTATTCTAGCTGAAGTAAAACAAATAAGACTTTCTCCAGAAGAAAAAAATATTATTAGACATACTGTAAAAATTTCCTTGCTCTGTTAAACATCATTTGGGAAATACTTAAAAGAGAAAAAAAAAATTAAGGGGGGTAATAATTCTGACTTCAACTGTACATGCACTGGCCTAGTAAGTAGATGGATGGATGAAGGGACAGGCAGATAAATAGTGTTGTGAGTATGCATGGGCTGGTCTATGATTTTGATGGTATGATAACCTTGGATAATAATATCCAGGTTTCAGGGTATTATGATTATTGCACTAAAGTTATTTTTAAAAGTCTGTGTAAAAAAAAATAATTAACCCTTTAGAACACAATATATTTTATTATGAAGAACATATTAAATATTTTGGAGCAGTAAACATGTCAAGCTAAATAATTAAAAATAAATCATTGACTTCTGGTGCCTTCATTTGAACACAGATTTCTCTACATGTTAAAATTGCATTTTTTTATGTTTTTTTTTTTTTGCTGGAGAGACTGTTGTCCTAAAAAACAAAACAAAAAAACAAAAACTTGAATAAACAACGTACACATACCTTAGGAATGGTATAACAGAAAACTTTGCCAGTTTTAAAACCTTGACTTTTCCAAACTGCGGTATACCTTGAAAACAGGTATCATCCCATGCCTAGTATTAATCCATTTTAAAAACAGAGTTGTCCCAGAGCAATCCTGATTGCATACTGCCCACCGCCTAGGCCTACTGTAACTAAGTAAAACTGGACCTGGAACAGAGCTGCCTATATTTATCATCAGGTTCTAAATGGTCAAGTTGCAAACTAACTATTACTTTTACTGTTTGTATGTGATATAATCTAAACACACAATTTTATTTTTTATAATTTGCACACAGTTTGAAACATTAAACATTGTCCTAGCCATTCAAAATTTAGACACTAGCTTAACTAAAAACAAAATTAATTATCAGCTAAATATTTACAGTTTTCAATTAGCCATTACTTTTTTTTAAAACCGTAAAGAAAAAAAACTAAAAGTTGTTATTCAGAAAATGTTAAAATATTTGTTAAATACAGTTTTCACTCATTTATTTTCTTTTCGGCTTAGTCCCTTTATTAATCTGGGGCCGCGAAAGCGGAATGAACCGTCAACTTATCCAGGATATGTTTTACGCAGCGGATGCCCTTTAAGCTGCAACACATCTCTGGGAAACACCCATACACTCTCATTCACACACATACACTACAGCGGATTGGACTTGATGTGCTTGGACTGTGGGGGAAACTGAAGCACCCGGAGGAAACCCAAGTGAACATGGGGAGAAGATGCAAACTCCACACAGAAATGCCAACTGGCCTAGTCGTGACTCAAACCAGCGGAACTTCTTGCTATGAAGTGACAGCACTAACAAGTGAGCCAGTTTTATTGTTATCAATTTCATTTTTTATTAAAATGTTATCATATTTTTATTATTTATTTAATTTTTATTTTTGCAGTCATGCATTTGTTAGCACATAACCTCGTACTTATTCAGATTTATTTAATTGCTATATCTTAGGTTATAATTAATTAAACAATATGACATACTAGTTACTATTATATGGATTAGTTATTATAAAAAGCTTTACTAAAAATATAAAAGACAAACCTTTAGCCACCCAGACCAGCAGTCTTTTATGACCGAACTGCTCAGTTTGCTGACATAATACGCCCTCTGGTGGCCATCAAACGAGCCGCGCCACATAAACAACATCTACTTGACTTTTAACTAATAGTATGTTAAAGCATCTATAAGCATGTAAGTTACATGCGTAAAGGCTAGGTAGTTTTGCATACAGTATTTGTGAACCTTAAACTCCATCATTGCCATGTTTTGAAAAGTGACAGGGGGTGGACACTCCCCCTGACTTCCGCCCGCTCGTGTCAAATTGCTCTTCCCTCAACTTCCTGTCGCTGTAATTCCTCATTGCTAACGGAGGCTCCCTTTTAGCCTAGCCAGCTAACTCCAGAGAAAAAAAAATACAGAAAAAACAGCAATGAACTTGCTTTAAATTCACGTATGATATTAAATTGTTAAATAATACAGTCGTAAACCGTGAACGATTATAGATCGATTACATTTTCTGAGTCAAAGCGTTTCCGTTAGATTCATACTGTACATAATAATGCTAGAGTGGGACTCTAGATGTTTAATTAATGGCAGCTGACGGGGAGATTTGCTCATTTTTGTTCATGATTAATGTTTTAATTGTCACCCGACTAATTCAGATTATGACTCGACTGTGAAAACGAAAGTTTCTCCTTTGTAGAGCGATATCGATTTGAGTTGACACCTGTTAGCTAGCGCGGCTAGCTAGCGCTCTCCTCGTACTGATTCTACTGGAAATGGTGAGTGCTTCTGCACTGCTTTATTTTATTGTGTATTCGCGAATGACGTTGGGTTTGTAAGATATGCTTGTATTGAATGGCGGCTGAGCCTGTTTTTGAGATTAACTTGATAAGATAGATTTTTGAAAAAGTCTGGCCTGCATGCTAGCTGATTTTTGGTAAGTGTGTTTGAAAGGCAGAGATATTCATTTCAGCTCAATGTTTTCTGTGTAAACTGCAGAGTGCTGTGTTAACATGTCAGCCAATCCGTCGTGGAGATCTCACCTTTTTCTCTTTGAGGCACAATCATACGTTTACAGTAATATTCAGGCTCTACAACAAGTACGTTACTAACGTTGCATCAGTATCTTGTTATATGCCACCAAGCAATATCAATGCAATATATTCAGTTTTAGGACTCTTGATACGTCTAAAAAGTCCTGCTTGATGATATGCTAAACACAAGTTGTTATGTTGTACTAAAAATTTAACTGCTATTTTTTTTCTCTCTCTTTTTTGCTTTAACAAAACAAAACAACAGACACTGACTAGAGATCACAAGTGCTCAGCATCACATTATCATCATCACAGCATAAACTGCACCTCAAAAAGAAGACAAAAAAAATACACAAAGTATTAATAATACAAGCATAGACTAATTAGCAAGGCTTAATGCTCATCTACAAAGGTTTTGCAAAATAGTACCTGATGTCCTGGGAGCTACATACTTACAGAGAAGATCTGATAAATGGTATACATTTTCTCCTTAGTTTGTGGGTAATATATTCCAATGACAAAAGATCAAATACTCTCTCTGCCATTCTGATACTGTTGTATACTGTGGTTTATAGGATATTCATTTAAGAAATGTATTTGTATGGGCAGCATAAAGTAAGGAGGTTAAACAACTTACTGTTTGCTGAACCCTTTAAATTAATGTCCTTAACTGAAAATTTTGAGGATGAAGGTCACGTCTTGTGGTAAATAAAAGATTTAATCTTCCACAAATCTGTTCCCAAAAGTCTTTAATATGTATACAAATCTAAGTACATTCTTTCTTTCTTTTAAATGCAAACAAATTGTAAACTCCAAATTGGAAATTTGCGGTTAATTTACAAATTAATTTCTTAATCCTGAGGTCATTAAGAATCTAGATGACCTCTTTAGTCAAATATTAAGGATTTCTTGCTAGGGCTGGGTTATTTGGCTTAAAATCAAAATCTCGATTAATTGTAGATTTTAACTTGATTACTGTTAATGAACAATTAAAAAAAAAAATTGCCCTCTCCGCGCCGCCCACACTAGTGAACGCTACTAAGCTGAATAATCAATGTAGTTACATTTTATGATAGGTCAGCGTGGGCATCAGTTACGGCGAGGGCTATGTGACCGTGTGAAGGCTGCACCAGGCCATACGCTGTGCTCACTGCAGAAGTGTAAACAGAGCTGGGTCACGTGACTTCACACATGGTAGGGAAAGTAATTGAAAACATTGACCTGGAAAAATCAGACCTATCATAGGTTCTTAATGTCGATTTCGATTAATAGCCCAGCCCTAATTCTTGGATTTTCACAAAAGGCAATGGCTGCTATCTGTCACTTTAAGGGTAAAGAGAAAAAAACACACACAGAGACAAAACAAAAGGAATGCCTATGTTGCCTACATTATGAAGTAAAACAAGTGCAAGAAGTTGAACATTTTTTACCACATCAGGGCTCGAAATTAACTTTTTTACTTGGTAGCACCGGTGCTCCCAACTTCAAATATTTAGGAGCACCAAAAAAGTTTTAGGGAGCACCAGAAAAAATTTAGGAGCACCCACCAAAAATGAATGAGCACCGCTGCAAATTGTTTTTTAAGGGATTTATTGTATTTTAAAACAACATTAATAGGACTGACAAAAACTAGAAACAACTGTCTAACTAATGCTGCGAAGACATTGATATTTGTGTGCAATAATTCCAAAATGAATGTCTAATAATTACGCCATAGAATATTAATGATGATAAAAAATGACAATAATAGTAATGAATTCCATTTCTCATTATGATACTGCCTTGAATGTGCATGAATGTATGTTATCTGCTATAAAATGTCTGTTACTTCATGAAAAATAATTGTATAGTTTGCATCAAACAAAAATGAAGCATTGCAGTAAGAAATTTATTTTGTACTGCTGTTTTTATATGCATGTCAATTTAATAAATAATATTTCTGCTACAAAACAAACAAAAGATTATAATAAATCATTCAATTCAATGATGAAAGCTGCAAAGCAGTCATCAGTAAATAAATAAAAAAAATATATACACCTCAAAAAAGAATAGACAAAAGAAATTAAGTAAAGTCTCGCTTCTATCACTCTTTAAAAGTTTTGGTTTCAGTTTGTGTCAATTTAAAGGTTCAGTCTGAGCTGATCTTCATTTTTCTGTGTTAGTGGAAAAGCAGGCGAGTCAGCCGACCCAATATATGAGCAGGCAGAGCAGGATTCTTGCGCTAACCGTCGGCGCAATACCGGTCTTTGGTTTGAGCCGCAGTTTCAGTGTAAACTTAGTAAAGGCGAGCTTCTTTGGCGATGATATGTACAGTATTAGATTTGACTTTTAGTGGACATTTGCGCTGAACACGCAGTGAACGCAACGCATGGAGATTCGGGCACCTTCTCCAAGAAGCGCGTACTCAATTGATCTCAGCTGGCGGATCATTATTCACCACGTGACGTGTCATGATCGCTTTTATCTGCGCCTCAACTTTAGGTAGGGTTTGCAAACCTGTGTGCTTTAAGTTTTTACTCTTCAGCCGTTTGCATTTCCCGTGGTCATAAAAGCTCCTTCCCTGTCATCTGACAGCGAAATACCTTGAGTGAATGACAGCTAATATGAACCAATATAGCGGCAGGGAAGAGCGATTCAGCACGTTTTTACAAAAAATCAAAACAGGTCGCACTACAACCATTATCTGCAGTCGCACTAATGCGCCCAAATATATTATGAGGTCGCATAGATAAATTTTCAGGCGCATATGCGACCAAAATGGTCGCAATTTCGAGCCCTGCCACATGCTTTAACGTTATTTGTGGAGTCACCTCCAAAGTTGAACTATAATGGAGTGAATCTTCTGCATGTGTTTTCAAGGCCTGTGAGTAAGCATTTCATGAAAGATTAAACCATTCAGGCCAAATAAACCAAAACGCTTCTAGCTTCAAGAGAGATAAACATTATACAATGCTGTCTTATATTTAGTCATATAGACTCCCTAGAAAATCATAAAAGACTGTCTATTTTATCTGTATTTTTGCTCTAATCTATGAATCTGTGCTTGAATTTAGTTTTATTATATTTTATGTAGATGCACTGCCCCACAAAATCTAAAACTATGTCCAAATATAGCTAAATAGTAGGGCTGCAGGATTAATCAAAAAAAGATCACAATCTCGATTCGACCCTACACACGATATTAATTCAGCTTTTCTACTATTCAGCTAATTATATATTCCAAAGAATATTATATTCAGGAGAGAGGAGTAAAGGCGGACGGACAAGTCTTCACAGCAACATGGACACCTTCAAATGGTGTTAAAAGTGTCACACACTGTATTTATAAGATATAATTCACCCAGAAATCTTATTTCTGTCTAAATGTAATGCATTTGCGGCTGGGAAATCATATGAGGCGACCATGAGCTGTTTGTTTATTTCCAAGAACGCGCGCGTGCATACCAATCACGGCTACTTTAGTGAACAGAACATACATATGCCGTGAATAACAAGTATTAAAGTTGTAAAAACGATTCTGTTTGTTGCACAGAGCGATTGTTTGAGAGCCGCGCTGAAAGAATGATTTGGATGGGGAAGTGAAAGTGAAGCTGGTGTTACACCAAATTCAGTGATGATCGTATTCTGTAACCATAATAGGCCAATTTTGGGCTTGAACTTGCACCCACAGCCACCGACGTGCACATCATTTAAATGATCATAACTAATTTTACAGTGATAATTATGACAAGCATTTGATATGTTTTTTCTTCCACAGCTAACAAAGTGTGTTATGCATAAAAACAAATGATTACTGTGTCAGTATAACAACTCTAGCCTATATATAATGTTGAATATTATGCAAGAAGGAATCTGGTAATGACAAATGTCTCATTTTACCAGTGAAAACAAATGGTATAATAATGCTGTCTATGACAAATGACAAGCACATGTCTCAAACATAATAATTTAACTTCAGAATTATGAATAGATATATTCTGATGTCATCCTTTTACTGTGAATTAACAAACAGGACATGTTGAAAGTCTGATTAAGTCCACCATAATGACTATACAAAACTTTGCATTTTAACCAACAGTAGACCCGCACACAGGCCTATTATTATTGTTATTATTATTATTATTATTATTATTACTTTTTTACCATATGTTTGAGAAATAATAATAATAGCCTACCAATATTAACCTTTATTTTACATCTACAGAATCTTGAGAAAATCGTAAATGATTCACATTTTAGCCAGAATCATGCACCCCTACTAAATAGCTATAGCTAATAGATATCGCAATGCCAGATTTTTCCAATATTATGCAGATCTATTTTAATTCATATGTAGTTCAGGAATCACAGGCATTAGTTTAGTTTTGCCTGTGCATTTTTCTTTACTCTTAGAGTTCTAGTAGCCAGTTACTTTCATTTTATATATTTGTTATATTTTATTTTTTATATTTTATTTTATGAATCAATAAGGACTGCAGTTTAGGCAGAGATTATTTCTTAATGTTCTGCTGAGAAAAAAAAGTCACCCGTGTCGAATTTTGATTAAAGAAAGGTGAATTAACAGCAAGTTGTCATTTTGATTGAACAATCCCTTCAACCTGGTCATTGTATCGGTCAACAGGTAGACGCCCTCATGTGCCCATGGAGAAGGTGGCTTTTGAGGGGTGGCTGGAGTCAGTTTCCACCTCCTTCCTGGTGCTAAGTGACCAGCAGCGCAACCAAACCCTGGACCACCTCATCTCACTGAGCGGTGCCGCCCAGCTGCGACACCTGTCCAATGGCCTGGAAGCACTGCTCAAGCGGGATTTTCTGCGCCTGCTGCCGTTAGAGTTGGCCTTCTACCTGCTGCGCTGGCTGGACCCCCAGACCCTGCTCACCTGCTGTCTAGTGTGCAAGCAGTGGAATAAGGTGATCAATGGCTGTACTGAAGTGTGGCAGAGTGTGTGTCGAGACCTTGGCTGGCGCATCGATGAGTCCATTCAGGACGCTAGACACTGGAAGGTAATATATCTGAAGGCCAAACTGCGCATGAAGCAGCTGAGGGAGGAGGATGCGTTTGAAACCAGCTCTCTCATTGGACACAGTGCTCGAGTATATGCTCTTTACTACCGGGATGGGCTCCTCTGCACAGGTACGTTACCATTAGGATGTCTTTGCTTTGGTGCTGTGTTAAGACTTTTTTTTTTTTGTTTTCTTTTGTTTTGTTGTAAAATATTTTTCATTAGGATCTAAGTGGGATGCTGACTGGTTCTTTTAATCAGTTGTTTGCAATTATGTGGTTCTGGTGATTCAGATAGAGGCAGCAAGTAAAAAACTGAATGAGAGACATAGAGAAAACTCCATGTTTTTGCGATTTATATCAATAGAGATAGAAATAGAAAATAGCCACATGTGTTGGGCATGATCCTTGTACATTGAAGAGGGCCGAGTTTTCTACTGAACTATATTTGCCTGTCATTGAGGCGGTAGATACTGCGTAAGCAATTACATTGCATGAAAAAATACTATAGTAAATTCTATAGTATTTGGAGAAGCCGTTTTAACATGAAGTGACACAACATCTGATGTACAGATCCCACTGGCACATATGCTAAGGAGTGTAGTGAGACTTCTGGTGGCATGTCCGGTTTTCACTGTCATGTGTTACTCGGTAGTGGCTCAGTGTTGCGCTGCATGTCACTGCAGTGACATCGACACCCGGCGAAGCTTAATGACACTAATCAACACGCGCAAAGCAATATTTAGTCATTACGCGACTTTTAACATGTTTTATTGCGTTGCAACTTAGTTTTTATGCTAAACTACTCCATGATGTTGAATTTAAAAGCATTTATTTTATGTATTTGTAGTTATACTTCTGGTATTTATTGCTACTATACATGTCACTGGTTATCAAACTTATTGTGCCATATATTATTGCATCATGGCAGTATTTGGAAGTATGCTAAAGATAATTATTTGAATTAAACTGACATAGTAATTATATTGTTGCTGTGGTAAGACACAACTGTAGAAATAAACAAGTTATTGAATAGGCTTCAGTTTTCTACACTATAATTATATATCATCATCAGCTTGTCGGCGGGGTCTTAAAGTATTAAAAGTTGATAAATCAATGTTGAGAAATTTAAGGCTCTTAAAAAGTCTTAAATGCTATTTGCATGGTATCAAATTTATATATTTTTGATTGTAAAATGTATAGTTTAATGCTAAAGTTTGCCTTAATTAAATCTGCCAATATCAGGATGCTGTGTAGTTTATGAAAGCAATAAAATCCTGTTAGGTTTGACATCATGCTGCTTTGTTTACTGCAGTAACACCATTATTTCTGCACCTCTATAGGCGCCAACCTGCTGAATTTGCTAGATTAAATAGATTGTTATTCAGTATATGAATAAAGTTTGAGTTTTGGGTTTGTTACATTAATATTTAGTAAATATACTTTTAAGTTAATCTTGCCAGTGTTTCTGGTGAAAACCTTAAAGAGCCCATATTATACATGAAATAGGGTCATATCCTGGTTGTAAGGGTCTCCAACAACAGTCTAATATGCATGCAAGGTCAAAAAACACTTTCATGGTCTTATAATCTGCATTTATTTTTACCTAATTATCCCAGCGACTCCTGTATGAATCGTCCAGTGATTCATTTGTTCCCAAACCCCTCCTTAGCGCGAAGCTAATCTGCGCTGATTGGACCGATGACAGTCTGTCGCGATTGGTCGACTGCCTTCAGTCAGAGAGGGAAATGGCCAATAGCTAATCAGCAATTTAAAAAGTAATCACAGTTCATACACGCTCGATAGTGTAGACGTGGATTTTAGCTGCCACACTATGGCGAGTGGATAGTGCCACGGATAACCGAACGAAGGAGACAGTCGTGTACTCGCCATACCACACACACACAAAAACACACACACACCTCCGGATGACAACGCTCCCGCTTCCGCCCGCACCCGCCAGGTTTTAGCCTAAGAACCCGCTCCGTTTTGTGCCCGCCGCGCCCGGTCCCGCTAGAGCGGAGAACACAACCAAAAATCACTGTCTGTATAAACACACACACACACAGCACTCTCTCTCTCTCTCTCTCTCTCTCTCTCTCTCTCTCTCTCTCTCTCTCTCTCTCTCTCTCTCTCTCTCTCTCTCTCTCTCTCTCTCTCTCTCTCTCTCTCTCTCATACGCGCGCGTGCGCACTAACACACACACACAAGCACCACGCAGACTCTCTCTTTCTAATTCGCATAGCAATATCCGTGATATTGCTAGACAGCCCGCTCCCGTCCCAAATTAAACCCGTTACCGACCGCTCCCGCGGTTTATTCGGAAATTTATTCCCGCGGCTGTCCCCGCGCCAGATTTCTGCAGCGCGGGAATAAATTTCCGAATAAATCGCGGGAGCAGAACTCTAGCACAGAGCTCCATAAACAAACAGCACGCGTCGCGTTTTTAACGTGACTTTGCACGCGATAAGATAAAATATCCAGTTAACCTGATACAGTACACGCGGTTACAAGTAACAAATCACAACTAAATACATTTGCAAGCTAGAGTCAACGAGGCAACAACTTTAACCGCACGTACTTACACTTGAAAAATGGAAGAAACCCATCCTGACGTCCATCAGTTACTCTTTACTGATCCTTCCTTTAACAAACTCAGATGAAGTATTCTTTGTAGCATGTAGCTTCCAGAAGTTTCCAACTGCTTGGTTATAATGCTGAGGTTTCATCTTTGGGTAGAGACTCAATATATCCATCTGCAGTGTGACTTCAATCGACCGGCATGTTTGTGTGCGTGTGTTTGTGGGTGTGCGTGTGTTTGTGGGTGTGTGTGTGTGTGTGTGCGTGTGTGTGTCTGGGTTTCTGCGTCAGAGGGCGGGGCCTCAGGTTTGAAATCTCCCCGGTTTGCGCGTGCACGTGAATAACTTGGTTTCGTTCGTACGTCATGGCGAAACACCTAATGAGTCGGTATCAAGGCGACTCGTTTGAAGCACTATGAGTCGACTCTTTTATAGATGAATCAACCGTTTTAAACACTGTACTCTTACAGATTTAGGCCTTAGCTGGATACTTCACTTCACTTAGAGCTGTGTTACACACTACATGAAGGGGAATTTTCAAAAACCCATAATATGGGCTCTTTAAGAGGTTTTAAAATCTTTAAATGAATGAAAAGAGCCTTAAAAAGTGTCTTGAAAGGTATTGAATTTCACTCTGATTTCTGTATATATTCTAATAATGCATCACAGTTTACACTAACGTCACAGTGTTTATTACAGTTTATCAGTTTACTGTGCCACAGTATTCGGTAGCAGTCATTAACAGAGTTGTACACATTATACACTTGGTTCAAAAACATGTTTATTATAAATAACTATACTTTTTTCCCTATGCGGATATCATTCAGACATCACAAAATAACCAGTGAACGCATACAAAGGGTGGATGCATTGTCTACATTATTATTATTATTATTATTATTTTAGAGGGGAAAAGTGCTCCTCATGAATAACTGTCTAGTTTTGCTCACATGGGCATTTCTTTTTTGTTCTGTTATTGAACTTACTTTTAAACATTCACCGCTGCTGCACATATAGACGTTAATGTTATGGTTGTTTATTTTACCAAAACGCCAGTAAAGACTTGGATTATTGCAAAACAAAACAGACATTTCATTGCAGCGATTAAATGGCAGGGCACGATTTTGTATACATGTAGTGGTGGTGTTTGTATCTGATTTTTATATAGCACATATTTATACACATAGTTAGGCCTGTATATAATCTTTATTGGTGCTGTCAAACAAATTATAGCATTCAAATAAAATATGTACACACGGATGTATTAAATAAATGTTTGTTACATGCCACCTTTTCCTCCCCCCTTCAGAGGCAAAAACTTTTGGAAGTCTATAAAAGCTGTTTTGCATTTCTTATTTTGGCCGATGTAAACAATTATAATTAACACAAAACATAAACATTTACATTTTCTGATAGCGATTTCTGTGGAGAGGAATTTTGCACATCATCAATGACAACATGTGAAAACCTATTATGAGATGTAGTCACTTCTGTATGTAAATGTGAGGTCGAATGTAAGCATGTCACAAAAGAGACTTTTCCATTTCACAGTTACATAAAGATATAGTTCACCCAAAAAGTTACATTCTACCATCATGTAATGAAGTTTTTCCAAACCAGTTTGATGTTTTTTTTTTTTTTTTTTGTTATGTTGAAGAAAAAAAAACAACAACAAATACTATGAAAGTCAATGGTTACAGGTTTCCTGCATTCTTTAAAATATTCAACAGAAGAACAAAAATCAAACTGGTTTGGAACATGTCAAAGGTGGGAGACTTTTGGCGGAATGTATATCTTTTTATTGGTTTAAACCTATTTATAATAGAAAATTGTTATTTATAAACTGTTTATTTATCAAAACACTATCTGTTTTTGCCATAAGATAGCCATTGAAGGTGAAATGGCAATACATGCTAAATTCTCTCTTCCTTTTGATTACATCCCAACATTAAAAGTCCTAAATTAAAACTGTCAAAATTGACTCACCCATGTCATTCCAAATTAATTTATTTATCTTTCAGAGTATAAATGAAAGTCAGTTTTAGTGTTTTTGTCTGTCCATTTGAAAGTATATTTAACCAGATCTTTAAAAAAATGCTAAATGTTTGTAGAGAGATCAAAAACAAATTAATTGGAATCAGGTGATTTAATTCAAGTCTGCTGGAGAGAAATGATTGCTGTATATAATGGACAGATTTTTGCTTTAGTTCACAAACAAGCTCTGAGCAGTGGACATTACCAAAAGCTCAGACAGACTTGGATTATCTGCCTAGTTCTTGCAGAAACACAAATGTGCTGCATGACACTGAAGAATTAAGAATATACCCTTTTTGCAACCCTGTTATGACTCGTTTAACAGTCATCATAATCTTAAATCCCAAGGTTTTTAATATTTTGATTTTTAAAAACTGTATGATTGTTCATATGCATTTATGAATGAAGTATATTATCTTTGTGTCAAATTACAAAAATTAATCGCTTTTTTTTGCGATTAAAAAAAAATCGTTTTTATTTATTTTATTGCCTTTTTCTGAAAGTCTTTGTAACACCATCGTAACATGTTTCTTTTATTATTTCAGCAATTAGGATAGATTAAAAAAAAATAATTAGTTGTATTCTCCCATTCACTCCACTCTTAAGTTTATCCAGCTGTGACATTTTCTGCTTCTGAGAAACCCGGAAATGTGAAAAGGGTCTATTGGATCTTGTGTCAAACAAGCATTCTTTAGCTTCCATGAGCACATTTAATGCTGTGAACATTTCTTGCTGGTCAGTATTCATGTGTAAATGCAAGCCAAATATAAATCAGTTATTTATAGATGTTTTTGGTTGGACTAAAATAAACTGCTCAGGGCTGTGATGTATCTTGGCTTTTAAGAGCATTGTGTACGTGCAAGGTTACATGTTTTTCTTAAACATGATCGTGCCAGAACTTGTTCCATGTGCTACTTAGGAGTTGCTGTCCATTTAAAAAGTGCTGAAATATAACCTTCTCTTGTGGGTTAGCTATTAAGACAGGTCTATATAAAGCACCTACCAGCAGCAGACAAAAGGCACGAAAAGAAACTTAAGGTTAAAGAAAATAAAGTTCTAAATAGAAAATGTCCAGTATTTGGATGCATTTTATGAACATACATAAAAATCTTTTTTTAAAAGTTATTAATCGCTATTTTTTTACAGTCTTTCAACCATATTTTATTTCAATAGTTTTATTCTTTTTTTGTTTTTCAGTCATTTAGTTTAATGCGTATTTCTATTATTGTATTTTGTTTCTATTTTGTTTGTTTTCTACCTTTTTTATTTAATTTAAATTAATAAATAAAATAAATTAAATTTAAAAAGCATAATAGCTTACAAAAAATTACAAAAACTTAAATTATAATCACACTCTATATAAAGATTTGACATCACATCCAATTATAGATTGATAGATCATAGATTATATTGATTTCAGGGTTCAACGCTAAGGATTGTTTTCTACTGGCCCAATCGGACCAGTGGTTCAGATTTTTACTTGCCCTGCCAATATTGTCACTGGCCCCACCAAAAAAAAGTTAATAGCTATTTCTTAGCCATAAATAAAAAAATTTCAAAATGTTTGTAAATCTAGAATTTAAATAATTAAAAAATGTTTATAAAGTGTTTTGCAAACAAAAGTAGCAAAATGTGCAGGTATTTTTTTTGCAAAACAAAAGATGACTGACCTGCCAAACTAACGGCAAACTGGACAAAACATCACTTCATTTTTTTTTTTAGTCGTGGTGTACCCTCGTAAAAGTCTGGTTCCAAGACGTTATACACAAATGTTTTCGTTTAGCATCATCACTCGATGTTGCCGCCATGTTGCTGTCTCTTAGCTGTACTGGTTATTATGGAAAAAAATAACATGCTCACAACATCCAATCAGATAAGAGGAACCGAGAAGGTAGCATTTGAAGGCTTAAAAACACAAACGGTTTCTGTATTCTGTCTGTATTTGCACGCAATTGACAAATAGTCACAGGCAAATTAAACTAATAGTGACATGGCATTAGTGGCCCAATCGGGCCAGTAACGATCCTGTCTACTGTCCCGAGCATCTCACACGCTGGCCCCGGGCCATCGGGCAGTCCTTATTGTTGAGCCCTGCATTTGTAGATGAGTATATTTCAAAATGTTGCAAAAAAAGGGTTTTACATAGTAAAAAAAAATTTTCAACCTTCAGAATTGCAAATATAGGCTGCTTGTTTAAATGTATTAGCTACAGATTTATATATGTGCTCGCCTATGGCTATAAATCATGTAATCTGCCGATTGTTCTCATCACTTTGTCTTTGGATGCACGTAGGGCTTTAACAAACACAACAGAGCACTAGTAGATCTACAAAATTTTTTGAAGTGCTGCTTAAGTTACAATCCTTTTGGGAAATGCAACCTCCAATGCAACCTCCAAGTCTCTTGGATTTTTTTTTTTTTATTGATCTTATAGGTGTCTATTTCTGTGTAAATAGACTTTCACTCAACTGACATATCTTTTGTAATTGTATAAATAATATCATTGTTAGTATTCCGAAGATTAACACATTTTTAGAATAACATAAGGGTTTTCCTTTTTGGGGTAAAAAAATGTCACTACTATTCGTCTGTAAATGAGCTCAGTATTTGATCTCCAGTTTGGAGGAGGAGTTCATTACATATTAAGGATATATTTGGCACTACATCAACACTGTTGATTGAATTTATTTATTTGGTGATAAATGCATCAGCAAGTAATAGAAATCAGGCTTAGTGTCACACTGATCACACTGATTATTTTCCCTCAGGTTCTGATGACCTGTCAGCCAAACTATGGGATGTCCGCACAGGCCAGTGTGTCTATGGCATCCAGACCCACACCTGTGCCACTGTCAAATTTGATGAGCAGAAACTGGTGACTGGGTCTTTTGATAACACCATTGCATGTTGGGAATGGAGCACTGGTGCCAAAATCCAGCAGTTTCGAGGACATACTGGGGCAGGTTGGTTTCAGGCTCTCAAAGTAACATCATTATTCCTTTGTTTTTCTTCTCTGTTTTTTTGTGTCATGTTTATGGTTATGTCACAACATATCAATAGCAGAATTTTAAAGATTGACTTTTGTTGCAGTGTTCAGCATAGACTACAATGATGAGTTGGACACCCTGGTCAGCGGCTCTGCAGACTTCACTGTCAAAGTATGGTCCCTTTCTGCAGGAACGTGTGTCAACACTCTTACTGGACACACAGAGTGGGTCACTAAGGTAAGACTCGTATAAACCAGATCTCACTGTGGAACGAAACATAGTAGTTTTTATTCAACTGATTTTTATTTTGGAGTTGGTGATCAGTGGTAACTGTTCGCTTTTCATCTGTGCTTATTTAGGTGCACCTTCAGAAAAGCCAAGTGGAGTCCATGATGCACAGTCCTGGTGACTACATACTACTGAGTGTTGATAAATATGAAATAAAGGTAATGCATGCCATTTTTAAGAACCAAAGTGTTTTGCAGACTGGTGTTCCGGGTTAAGAATAGTGTTTAGCACTTATAAAAGTAAGGTGTCTTAAAAGTCCTGGTAACATGGTCAAAAGAAATATTTAAAAAACAAGATGCCATGAGACGTTTTAATTTGTATATATATTTTTTCTTTATTTGTTTACAAATAAATTACAATTATGCACATATATATATATATATATATATATATATATATATATATATATATATATATATATATATATATATATATATATATATATATATATATATATATACACATACATACACACACACACATCAAAAGCTTTATACAAAATCATAAAAATATTAATGCGCACTTACTGCAGATGGGATCTCTAAGTGCTGTTTTCTTAAAATTTCCATGGACTAAATCCAATCATTTTACTTGGAATTTCATTGCGCAACAGTTTTTGTTACTCCCAAGTTTGTTGTTGTCCAAGAGAAAGCTTCTTATCTTAAGAGTCACTTCTATTTGAGCCCTGTTCCATGCATTGGTGAAAAAGTCAATGAAACACATTTGCATTTACTTGACAACTTCAATGTTCTTTATTTTTTGCTGTATCCAAAACTCTTACACCATTTTATCTTGCTTTCAAATTTGTCACAGAAACCAGTGTTATGTGCAATCCTGTATTTGTGAGTTTTCTGTGACTGGATGTGCAACTAATCCTGTGACAGCAATGTTTTCTTTTTTGTTTTGCTTTTAAATATTATCACCATTAAAACAAATATTTTTGCGATATCTCTATTGACCTTATTCTTTAATGCAGAAGTGCACTCGTTTTTGCAATTGTTGTAGAATTTCCACTTTAGTCGCCTTTGGGAGAAATGACTAGGAATACTAAACAACAGAAAACTGTCAAACCACTTACTCTACAAACAAGTGTTTGCATGACTATACAGACCAAGTAGAATAATATAATAAGAAAATATATAATTTTGCAACATCAAGCAGCATAATGAGCTGTTTTTAACGTCAAAAAATAAATGGCAGTGAATGAAACCGGAGGTCTTGTACAGGAAGAATAAGGTAAATAATGAAAGGATGACTTTGTAAGGACACAGTATTTATGTGATTTTTGTCTCTGTTTCTCTGTAGGTGTGGCCTATAGGCCGTGAGATTAACTGCAAGTGCTTAAAAACTCTATCCGTGTCAGAAGACCGCAGTGTTTGCTTGCAGCCACGATTACAGTTTGATGGCCGGTACATTGTGTGTTGTTCGGACCTTGGCATATACCAGTGGGACTTCGCAAGCTTTGATGTCATCAGGTTCATGCATTTCATCTGTCCGTTTACATTATCTTCATTTTATATTAGAGACATAACTTTTAATATACATTTTAACATTTATGTCTGTAAGTAAATAATTAACATGATGTAAAATTAAATGTAAAAGGATTTGTGCAATTTTTTTTTTACTAATTTCACTAATTAAATAAGCTAAATTGTTTTATTGAATTGATCTTCTCAGAGTCATCAAGCCACAGCAGGACCCCTCCAGCCTCTCTCTGCTTAGTTTTGGTGAGGTTTTCGCTCTTCTCTTTGACAACCACCATCTCTATGTTCTGGACTTGAGGACTGAGGTTACTGTGGGCCGCTGGCCACTGCCAGCCTACCGTAAATCGAAACGTGGCTCTAGTTTCTTAGCAGGCGTCACTTCCTGGCTCAATGGACTGGATGGCAAGAATGATGCAGGCCTAGTGTTTGCCACCAGTATGCCTGACCATAGCATTCATCTGGTTCTCTGGAGAGAGAATGGCTAGGACATGGAGGAGGCAAATACTAGCCCTGTGCTTTGAAAGCAGGCAGAACTTTACAGCAAAAAGAAGAAAAAAGGGTGCTTTTCATTAAACTAAACAGCCAACATTGTTAGATAATGCATGGACCAAAGTGTTTCCCCCTCCTCAACTTTGTTTCCATTCGCATTATGGATTCACTCTTGCTTCACTTTCTTTCCTAGTTACTTGCAAACCATGCATTCAACACTCATAGAAAAGGAGACCACTGGAGATTGGCAGTAGCTTTTCTCCATCATGTGAATCCAATTCAAGGGTTTTGTTTGTTAAAGACTTGAGAGATTTCTCGCTGAACTTGAGTTGAGTCGCTTTTGCTTTCACACCAGTGAAAGTTGTTAAAATGCTACTGCACCACCAGAGCGCAGATCGCTCCACAGCAGGCACGAGCAGGGGAGGTGGCATGTTTTATAGCACAATCACCAGGATTGACAATGAAGTACGTTGTTTGTTTTTTAAATGTTTAAAGTGTTACCTTTTCAGCAACTTTAGTTCTTTTGGACAAAGAGAAATGTTGCCTTAAATCTATGATTTCCTTTCGAAGAAACTGAATTTGCAGACCTGTGTGGCTATAGGCGCTGGATTGCAGCCCAAACATCTGTGTTGGTCATTTTGCTGGGTCTTAAAAAGGCTCTGATGAAATGCTGTCTGAATGAGTCAAATGGGCTTTTGTATGTAGGTCCTCGCCGTTACTGACCCTTGGTTTTTAATTTTCATTCAGTTTATTAGTCATGTGCCTTTGTTTTAACACTTAACCGTTTGCATATACAGCGTGTCACATTTTGAAGTTCAGTCCTCCCTCAATGAGAAAAGTCTGTTTTATGCTTATTTTTTTAACCTAATGTAATCAACACTGTAAGAGTTAGTCTTACCACTATTTAGCCAGACTAGATCACACAAAAGTGTTTCTTGTGAAAGTCGTTGAATGTTCATTTTTAATCTTTATTTTTAAAGACTGATCTTATTTTTGCATAATCCAGGGCTAGCCAGCCTTTTGTCACTTTATATAGCTGCTTCTGTAGTTCTGTATATCCCACTGGAAGATTAGAACAATTTAACTTTAATTTTCCTTCCCCAAACCATCAAAACAGATAGTTTAATGCATTTTCACTGTATTGCTCACTTACTTCAGAGTTTAGATGCTGGGTAAAAGTATGATTACCATTGGGGGGTTACGACGTCTGTATGCACTGGTTGTGTTACTTCACTGAAATGCAAACCTCACAGACAGTAATGCCATCCGTCCATCGCTAGCAGAATTCAGGTCTGTTGTTTGTATAACAAAACATGCTGTCTCACAAATAAACGACAGTAGCTAACTATAAAAGTTGACTTTTCTGACTCTGATTGGATGTTTTTCATTTTTATGACGTGTCTTGTATGTTTTGTGTTTTATGCGCATCTATTGATAATCGTAAGTATAAGTTATGAACTTTGATCATTTCAAAAGTATGTTCCCGCTCGACGGAGAGGCTGGAACGCGTTTCTAGAATCATTGTTTACACCTGTTGTTGCTGATCCGTCCATTAGGGGGTGAAGGATATACTGCCAAATAATCTATTTTCAGTTAACACTTACCTACACCACCTTTTACCTGTTTAACACATTGGGATAAAGGTAGGGGTGGGTTTGGCTAATTAATAAGAGGTTAAAGGTTTTTCTTTGGGGAAAGAGGACTTGAACTTTACCACCTTCTCTCCCACTCTGTCTTCGACAACCAGTTTTTTAACGGTCAGACATCCGTCGTATTGGCCAACCATCATATCAAAGTTTTGGGCTATTGCCAATAACTGCTCAGATGTAAATAACAGGGTATTCAATAAACATGTGAAATATACAAATAAACATTTCAAATATGAAATACTTGGACCACAAAGAAAGCTGGAAAACATGCACTGAAGAGCTGAGAATAATCACTATAACACGTCCAGCACCACTACAGCTAACCCACGAAGAGCTTCTCAAGTTTGCAGGGCTTTAAGTACTGTTTGGAACTACGATTGGAACTGAACACATTCTACGCATCACAGCTTACTGCACACGTTTTCTTTTAAAGACAAATGCCTGAGGATGAATGCAAATGGGATAAAAACAAACACAATTCAAATTAATTATCCATTTAAAACGGCTTTTGTCACCTAGATCAATTTCAGCTATAGGATAAACTGAACTTGGGGACAAAAGCTGTTTTAAATGAATATTGTTTGAAATCTATAGAAAAAGAAGCACAACAAATGAAACTTGAGAGGGTTTTGTTAAACTCATACCACAAAACGGACATTTATTGATTTAAATAATTTGTAATACATTAATTTGAAGAATTTTGCCTTAATCCATACACGTAGATATGTCATTACCGCAAGAAAAAAAATAAATATTAATTTATTTATAGTAAAAATTGTAGTGTTTTCAAACCATTTACAGTAGAGAAATGCGAGCGAATCCTGAAACTGCAACCTTTCCGGTGCCTGTTGCCAGACTGTAAATTTTAATGTGGTGGAGTAGTGTGATATGAAACCGTAATATCGCCCTTACCAAGATAATCCCTAACACCAACCCCAGTATTATTCAAATACAGTGTCGGTAGCATAATCTGATGTGTAGGAAAAAATGTCAGGGCCCTGTTTGTGCACGAACACCCTTCTCGATAGTTTGCATTTCTTGCTGCTTTTAATCATTTTGCACACTAGAGGACGATGCTGCAACAGATAAATGGGGGTAAAAATGTGGAATGAACTAGTAAACATTTATTGCTGTATCACGACGTTAAATTGAAACTTGTATGGTTTTAACATTTGATTTTCATAGACGAAAAAACCCGTTTGTTAATACGTAAAGGTGAGTGAATGGTTTCGTTTCTTTTAAGGCTCAACTATCCCAGGCTTGTCTCAATATATAGTGCTCGTAAAAGATTAACGTAATTTCCACAGTTTGACGTTCTCCTTGCAGTTTCGGTGTTGTGCTCAATTGTCTCTCAACTCGTTTATATTTCCCCTCTTCTCTTCTTTGCCTTCTTTTCTTCCGCGCTCCTCCTCCCTTCAAAAACTCCAGAACTCACTGGAAGGAAGGAGTTAAATCCAGAATAACATGCCATTCCCAATGCTTCCTATATTGCCTCTCTGTCGCAGTGCCACTGCTGAGTTAATGGACAATTTGGGTTTGGAGCATTGGCGTAATTCCAAACATTTATGAACATCACAGTTTACACAGTCTGGTCCAATTGCTCATCCATTTTGCCAAACAATACAGTTTTTGTCTGTGACGAAATATGAATGAAAAAAATGTTAGTATAAGCTTTTAGGGATGGGAAAAATTATTAATATATGCTTTGTGATTGATTATCTCTGTATTACATTTTAATCTATTTTAAAATTTAAATTTTATACTTTTAGAGATGTATTTACTCTTTTTTACATGCTGCTTTGACCTTAAATATTGTTTGTTTGTGTGTGTGTGTGTGTGTGTGTGTGTGTGTGTATATATATATATATATATATATATATATATATAGTACTTTTGTCAGAATTTCTATAGGCTGTCGCATTTATTTATTTTCTCAGTAAAGATTTTTATGGATCCTAAAGATAAAAATATCTATTTCTATTGCTAACACATTGACTATAAAACAGTTAATACAAGAAACATCTTATTGACCCATTTTAAAATGCACCTATTTTACCCATTTTTCAAGATTTAATTAAAGTATTTTGTGTCTCCAGAATGTGTCTGTAAGGTTTAAGCTCAAAACGCCCATCAGATTATTTATTATACCTTTCAGAATAATGTGATTTTCTGCCCTGAACACAATGTAGCTGATTTTATTGCCTGTGCCTTTAATGCTCTCCCTGCCCACTGTTATAATTGTACTGACATGCGACTGTGATGATAAAGACGGCAAAATCGCTGTGAATCATTACTGTTTGAAAACTTGTGAAACTCATTCTTGATCACATTTGATAATGATTGTTAATCACAGAGAGCTGAACAGATCTGTTAATCCTGGTTACTTTGCGCACATCCTGTCTTGTTGATATGATCATACGTGTTCATATGCAAACATAAGGAAATACGGTTAATATGGAGACATGTTGCTACATGGCTGTCAGTCAATTCGGTGGGCGAGAAAACCACACTCCTACGTCACATTGCGGTGGGCCTCAAAATGGAAGGGATTTGAATCCTATTTTAACATCAGGAAACTTAAAAAAAGAGACTTGTTGTATTTATATCACCACAATATGACTGTGAACACACTATACCTACAAACAGTTCTGTCCATCAGCTTACAAATGATGATTTTCATCATGGGTGCCCTTTAAATGTGCAGCCAAAATTCATTCTTACGTTGAAATGATTATTTAATAGAATTTACTTATATAATTTCTGATATTGTCCTAAAACAGAGCTTATGGGTAATGTTAACCGAATAAAAGAGAGAGTGTAAATTTGGCTTCAGTTTAAATTGATGTTTTCAATCCTAGAAATGTTTGCTCAATGTCATTTCAGTGCCGGAAGGATTGAGGAAAGTTACCCGCGGCAAAGGGTAAATTATAAAGATATACAGTAACAAAGATGAAATCAAAAGTCAAGCATACCCTTCGAATGAAAGTAAGACGATTTATGTTGTTGTTTCAGTGCAGAAGGTCTTCTCATTCTTTAGACCACCCACGTGAAAAGATTTATATCAGTATGCACTGAAACCACAAGCAACTACAATGCAAAGGATCACGCTGATGAACTCCATATGCTGAAAATCGCAAATGCCAACAGCAAGCACAGCATATTAAGTCCTGATGAGATGTGCTTTTCTAATGCTTTTAATTATTTGTGCATGTTTAATTAGGAGTGCTCTAAATGTATTGAAAAGGCATGTCTGCACTGTTTCTAATATTGGATGAGAGAATACACTCATACCCACGCACACACACATACACACACTGGTGTTTATTTTCACCCTGTCCGCAGACCAAACATGATTACAAGTTGTATAGTCAATATTTAGATATTGTGGTTAGGCCCTCAGCCATGCTCTTTTCTCCTCCCCTCAGTGTGTACATGTCATCAGACAGGATATTCCCACTTTTACTGCGCTGATCTCAGTACTGTGATCGTTGTAATCTCTCCCAGACAGTTGTATGTTCTTTTAACTCTAATGTATTTGTCAGGGCATGTGCTCAGCAGGGCTGATAACTTCCCATTCCCGGTCACTGCATCAATCCAGGCTTAACACTCACTCGCTTTCCTTCTGATTAGTCCCTGATTTATTAGGGGTTGTCACAGTGGAATGGACCGCTAATTACCCTGGTATATGTTGTACATTAAAAAGTGCCAAAATACACCAGTTGCCATATCATCATGATATTGTTTACTTGACAAAATGTACAGATATGGCAGAATTTTTCCTCTGATGTACAATTTTTGTGTACAGTGTAGCAATGTTTTATCTGATTTGCTGACAGTGGTGCAGTTTCTTATTGATATCAAAATTTAATTACAAAACTCACTACAGTCAAAGACTTTAAAATATACAAGACATGTCACTCCTATAGTTTAAATGGGGAAAAGTGTAACAGTCAACATGGCAAATGAATCCCCACCTACTAGTAAAGGAGCCAATCATTGATCGATTTAGACTGACGATTCTCTGGGGGAGATGCTCAGACCAGATTTGTGCTTTTACGACAGTTTGGTAGTCAACAAACGAACTGGATTCTTAGTGAACACTTTCTTCACATACATAAGAAATGTATCCAAATAAAGCTTAAAATCTCTACTTTTAAATGAACCAAGTGCACTTGAAAACTAGGGTTTTCTGGTTGACAGTCCGTCCTGTCAAACGCACATAACATGACAGCAACCTCTCAAACGCCCACAAAACAGTAAACAAAGAGTCGCTGGGATTTCTGGAGGAGATTCGCCATCAAGATTAAGTTGTGGATTACTTTAGAACAGCAGCACGATCAGATGATCATTATTCAGAGGTTGATCATGTGTAACCTGGCTATAAATGAGGTTGGTGTCGTGATCTCGTTCATTTCGGTTGCGCATTAGCTCAGGCACCCTGAAAAAATGCAGATTTTGTTTTATTCAGACGTCTCAAACTTATGAGATAGATATTGTTTATTTTTATTGGTGATTCCAAGTATGTAATGCATACTGCTCGAGAGGCGTTTCATAGATGGCTGCTGAGTGAAACGAATTGCCTTCAAGGCACTTTGCTACAGTTTTACCAATACTGCAGCTGTTAGACCACATACTGTACTTTTAAAACTTTTTTAGCAGAGTATTTAATTGTTTAGATTGCAAATACGCGGTTTATTTTCAAGC